AAAAGAGATATAAATGCTTTCCTCTTTAGTAAGTACAGGAAAAACACCACTGATCACTAAATGCCCGTCTTTGAACAATAATGGCATTCCAAAATTTTCTAGCGTCTTGCATGTCAAATCATCGTTCAGTTGAAAAGAGAAACGTAGCATGGAAAACAATAGGATCGACTTATTCATAATGATGTGGGCGAACTTGTAAGAGCATGATAAAACATGTATGAAATACAGCTGGTCTCTAATCTTTTCTTTATATGTGCAAGGACATTCCCCGCGGTGGTTGTGAGAACGATGCACGGTGCAAAATAAAGACGTCCTTACAGTATATCCCAAGGGGTAAGCGCTTCTGGCGCATGTAAAACCCCTCGAACTATGGTAAACTCTATAAAGAAACAAGAGCTGTTATAGAACAGTTTTCCACTCGTTCCACTGGTAAATAAACAGAAATACAACATTTTGATTTGCAAGCTTTCCCAGGAGCTAATCGAAACATTATAACAAGGGATTAAGCTCCATAATTCTTTCATTATTGCAGCGATTCCCCTGGTTTCCTTCTTCGGTGTGTTTACTGCTAGAAAGCAGAATTTTCATCTCTTGTTCGCGGCCGCGTCCCGTCTTGCTTCAGGAGGTGGCAATGAGAATCCCATTTTTCCGATGACAGTGTAGCGATGAGCCTTGACTTCACTCTGCACAGGTAGCAGTGAATTAAGAAAGACAGAAGACTGGAAGCGCAGCTCGCTTTTTTAATTGCCCTTTTCAGGTACTGTACAGTACATGCAGGCTTGTCATTCAGGAAGGAGAGACAGGTAGGAGGCCAGGAGGGGGGACCCACTTCCAGAGGCAGGGAAACACACTGCTGCATGGAGCCCAATCCATGAGCAGGTCCACTAGCAGCTTTCACCAGCACTAGGGAAAACACCCATACTGTATATTTGGACAGTGATCTCTGCACCACACACTGGTTACCTCACACAGGTGCAGCCATGACACTGATGTCGACAACATTGGGCTTGAGGACAGACCTGTTGAGGGGACTCTCTAAGCAGGTTCTCAAACAGCTTAGCTCAGGGCAGTAGTGTGCCGGATCATACTGTACCTTCACTGACCTGGACACTGATTGCTCCTGTGTTACGCACCAGACGCACTGACACACCCCAGCCGGCTGTATGACCTCAACCAGCCATGCAGACGGAACACAGACATCCTGGACAGATTTCAAACTGCCCTGGGTGATTAAGAAATTCAGAAGTACTGATCACATTCCTCAATACTCTGTACCAAACCAACAAATTAGGCATGAGTTTGGCTTCACAAAAAACTAAATCACCCACAGTATTTTCTCCCTTTCCCAGCCTTTTCCCTTTATAAAACCAGGGAATGATCCCACTTCTCTGTATCCCCTCCTCTGAGAACAAAGGGCAAACACACACACAATGGTAAGTCAACTTACCATTACTGGTTTGGGACTGTGGGAGGAAAGCAGAGAGCCTGTGAGAAGAGAAACTCACTCAAGCACAGGAAGAACACACAAACTCCACACAGACAGTACCCCAAGTCTGGAATTGAACCCAGGACCCCAGCGCTGCCAGGCAGCAGTACTAACAACTGTATCACCATGCTGCCATTTATTTCAGATACTTTAAAATATATATATTTGTGGTATTTTATATCCTTTTAGACTTGAAGCAAATATAAACAATATGA